GCGTGCGTGCGTGCGTGCGTGCGTGCGTGCGTGTGTGCACACGTACACAGAATACATGTACATATACGTACTGAACCGAGAGTGCACGCTGCACACGAGATTTCATCGATTTATGTCACAAATGACCCGGTGACCTGTGACATCACACAACCCCTTGGCTAACTACGAACTGGCTTATAGCACTGCAGTACATTTGCCACCAAACTCACACAATGTCACAATATCCTACGGCACTCAGAAGTTTAAATAAAATTGATTTTTATTAAAATCCATATCTTTGCAAACATAATAATCATTCAAAAAAAATAGCTACCAAACACTAGAACTACAACTACTAAAACATCATTCGAATGCCCACGAGTATATTAATTAAAAAGTTCCCATATACTTTGCATAATTGGCATTAACAGTTTCGGAACCAAAAATGTGGCTCGAAACAACAGTTCTACTTGCAGACAAAAAAGGTCACACATTAAGAAATAAACATTTTAAAAGTGCCACAACACAAGAAATGAAAGGTATGTAAACTAATACAGAGTAAACCAGATGCTTGTAAGTCATGCACAATCAAACCTGTGTTAGTAGACACATATATAAAGCAGACAGCTGTTCACAGCAGCTACAGAAAAAACCCTCATCGCTGAAAATAGATGTTTTTGAAGTGCGGCGGTTATACAACAGGCCACCTCCCCAACTTGCTCAGCCACCATTACTTCTGGATCCATTGACTGGTTCCAAAGTGCACATAGCAGCCACTGTACTGTCACAAAAATTTAACTATGAAATTAAAGCCTTACACATTCACACAAGCATATAGGCTCCATTAGCGAAACCATTTCATTATTTTGTTGACGGTTAACAAATTGCTGTTCAACCCTCCTCTTGACGGTCAAGAGGTCATCAGACAGCTTTTCGTGCAGAATTGGGAAGGAAATTTCATGGTATTTTTAATAAAACCATATAATGGTGGTACTGCTGACACAAAAACATTTTTCACTTGGTCCGTTAGACCATGTCCTCAGAGAATGTCTAAACGCTGTCCTTTGCTCCTCTGCCCTTGCCATGCAACGATTATAGGTTTTCACACCAGGACACTATATACCCAATGTCAACGGTCAAGCTGTTTAATTTTGTGTCACGATTACGCATTTCCCCCTATACCTCAAGTTAAGGGGAGATACTTGCCCTTCCTTCCCCTTTCTAAGCTTTGAACCTTGATTCCCCGATTCGACATCCCAGTTTTTTTTGGATTGCCCCCATGTCCAGAATATTAACAATGTATGTTAAGCCGGTTAGATTTGTGCCCAAATTGTTGACGGACAGACGCTCATGCCATTCTACAAGCAGCATCTGACAGTCTGACGGTGTCGGATGAGCTAAATATACATTAAAGTTATGATTTTGAAGCCTTCCCTCCCGCTCTCGCATTTTCAAGACCATCGAAATATGAAGTGGTATTGCTTGGGTAACAGCAACTGTCTACAATAAGGCTAACATATCTTGGAGCACTTGTACATTGTTAGTTTCACTAATATATGCAACGAGTTCTCGTTGACACGGTTTTATGGTGATGCCAGTTGTTTCTTGTAAGACCCTGGCCCTACACTTTATTAATGCGAACTTGCATAAAGTAATAGATACGCTGTATCAGTATAGAACCATTATAATTTTATATCACCCCATCCTACTGTCATGTTACCCATCATCTACACATATCATCCGTTGACATTTGACACTTGACTTGCATGTAAAAAGGTAGGAGGCTACTTTGTACTCACCTGTTAGGCTAAACAAACAGTCTAGGTACGTTTTCTCAGAAGACAATAAAGATTAAAACCCATGGTAGCGCCACAACCGTGCTTCTGTTTTAGGCAAAGAAAATAAATGCTAAAAATAGGAGAAAGAAACAAAAGCGCAAGCAAGCAAGCATACTCACACCACAACAACTGACATGGCTGCCAGAAACAGTGCTGGCTACCTGAGTGCCCTGGCCCTCGCCTGGGATCTTGCACTTATGCAAGAACTTCTTGAGAAGCCCGTTGGATGCATAAGGGAAGACAGCAAGTGGTTGACGCTCATTGTCCATGCACATACTGCGGATGGTCTGGATGCTGGGGAATGATAGCCCTAGCATCATGCAGCTTTCTGTGATGAACAGATTGACCTGTGACTCCGACGCTTGCTCTGCAACATCACAAATGATCCATGTCATGTGTGAGCACTCAGCATCTGGGTAGGCAGATGTCACGGAAAACACGTCAGAAACATTGCTTATCTACCGATCGTATACCAAAGCAAACACTTACAAGTGACGTTTGTTCTCTTGTTTTCAATATTTTAATGAGTCATGATGCTCGCGTTTTGTGTTACTGTGCAGAATCATGTCTTGCAGTGCAGAATAAATGAATGACCGTGTCGTTTTTTCATCCGATATTATTTATATGTTGTTACCCATCATGATATGCATAAATTACAGTGATGTACAATAAATTTCTGTCAAGGCTGTTTCTGTCAACAGTCCTCTGGTTTGTAAGGTAATGTATTGGAAAATTCGACAAACAAACGTGAATTTGGCTCCAACATTACACACACTACTAAAAAACACAGTGTCACGGTCAGTGATGCTGCCAGGGTCTATGTCTTCCTGGGTACTGCCGGAATGTACCCTGGTACCAGAGCATATAAATCAACGTGATTTATATGCTCTGCTGGTACTATCTAATATGCCGGACCGTACCTCGCCTATTCCACTAACAAGTCTAGGGAATTGCCTACACCTACTCCCTAACCCTAACCATATCAGATAGTTACCAGGGTACGTTCCGGTATACTGGACCGTACCCTGGGGGACATAGACCCTATGAGCTCCACTAACGAGTCTAGGGAGTTGCCTACGCCTACTCCCCAAGTCCTAACCCTAACCATATCAGATAGTTACCAGGGTACGTTCTGGCAGTACCCAGGGAGACATAGACCCTATCAGCGTCAGTGATACTAGCACTGACCAACAGTGTGGATCACAAAGCCAAATTGTACATTTAATAACAGAACAAAAATCACAAAAATATCACTAAAATATAATATGCAATTTATATTTGTACAAAGTGGGCATACGTTGTGGAAATTAGAAATAACACAATAAATCATAAAGAATGCTACTGTACTGCAGTGCACTACAATTACAGGGCGAGATACCTACCACAATACATCTACAGTCAAGGAACCATATATAATACAATATATACCATGTTATTTATTATGGTAAGAAAATAATATGGCACTATCAATTACCTGTGACAGTTTTGACGAAGACATCATTTTCGACTTCCATATCAGCTCCTTCTCCAAGTAGCACGCCATGATATATTTTCCCAAATGTACCTGAGTCACATTATCATATTATGTCACACTGTATATTTTGTACAGGAAGATAGCCATTATGGCATTATTTAAGCTATTTTATAATAAAAACTATGGGAAACAAACACAGAAGCATGGCTAATGATCTCTTACACAAAAAATTTATAGGACAGACATACAATTCGAAATTTATATTTCCATTTTTTGACTAATGACTTTCCCTGGACTGAAGCCAAGGCAGGCACAGCACAAAATATGGGCTTCTTCCATGACTCTCCCCCGATGGAAGGTAGGATCGACACAGGACAACACATTGTCTTATCCAACTAACCTATCCTGAACGAAAGCTTGATAGCCACGACATAACATGTGCTCCTCCCACAACCTGTCACTGACAGACTCACACTGCCGCAACAGAAAATTCCTCCACTGTAATAGAAATTTTCAGTGAAGAGAGCTAACATGCAGGTTTAACATATCTTACCTTCCTGTATGACGTCTGCTAGAGTGAGCCTGCTGCGCTCGATCGAGATCTCGCTTATCTGTGTTCGCAGATCAGGAGGCTTAAGGTCGCTGACGGGAGAGAAGCGAATGTAGCTGCCAGCCATGTTGGCTGGATTGTGACCATGAGATTCCATCCGGCCGAATGGGGGTGGGTGAGTGCTGTAAGCATGGCTGCTGATCTCACTACATAACAAGACACAACATCAGAAGCTGCAGACGAAGGAGCAACTGCGACAGTGTGATTAAATGTGATATAGTTATTGGGGACAAAATGCACCGCAACAAAGAAAGGAATTTACAGACAAATTGAAAAACACAATTGCAGACAAACTCAAAAACGCAATTGTGATAGACGACACACTAACAAGGAAATAATGAGATAGTAAAAATAAAATATAATGATAAAACACTATACACATTAGTGGGCTAACTGCAGTAGAAATGGTATGTGTTGAGCCCATGTTGAAAGTGACTAAACTAGAGATTTGCCCAGTGATCTTACGATGCATGCTGCACAGCATGTTTTAGTTACAACTCGATGAAGACCCATCACGAAAGAACACAAGCTCTGTTACATAATGCAGGCAAACCATCAACTGCAATAGATTATTGTGCTTATCCATATCACACACAACACAATTTACACATGTACATGTCACTTCACATAATATATGGACATAGCGTAGCAGACCAGGTCAACAGTGAAAAAGTACATTTTACCTAATGAAAGGTCCACCAAAAAATTTACTGTATTACACTTATAATTTAAAGTAAAAGTGAGTCATTTTATGCACAAATACATGAGTAATGATACTTCCTATATTTTATTCGACTGAAAAATGGTAGGAAAGTCCTACATTAAATTGCGAATATCAGCTGAACTGATAGACTTTTGCAAAATATCGAGTTAATTTACTGATACTAACAAAAGGAGATATTATCATACACCGATTTTTGTTTTATGCTATCAGCATGTAGAATATTTTGAAAGAGTATATAGGTCATCTCCAGTGCATACCTTGGGGTCAGGTTCAAAGGGTAAATATACGGGATATAGGAGCAAAATTTGCAAGCCAAGTACACTGACAGCACAACAATTGGGGAACATGGAAAGACAGCTATGTTCTGGATAGTATACATAAATATGGTGCACTTGTACTTGTTACTTGATTATGCCTGCCGTACATATGATCCATGCGCTTGGTCTTACGCGCCCCATCTTTTTCGCCACAAATTGCCTTAATTATAGCAGCTGAATGATAAGGTTCCACTTGAATCTTTTGAATGTGGACAATACCCACGAAGGAATCCATCACGTTTCAAGGAGGAGCTCTCTCTATTCTTCGCACAGCAAAAAATTTCTCAATGGAGTGCTATACACCATACACTGGAACGAAATTGTTAACAAAGCCAAAGGTGCTGCAGCAGGACAAGGCAGCATTGCTTGCAGGATTTTCTTAGTGCGCCAATGCCAGAAAAAGGTGGACCCTTACAAGATCTTTCAGGGGAGCTATAGTGGGATGTCTCCTGGATATGGCTGGTCTTACTCTTACTGAGGAAATTTCACAAGAGCTGAAGCCATACAGAATCAAAATGGACTTACAAGCAGCTGTGAAAAGCCTGGAAGAAACTGAATTAATTTCAAGTAAACCTGCCTGAGCTTTACTGCCTCACAACTGGTAATGCAACTACCGCTGATGTGGAGAATGATCTTACTGGAGTAGTACACAAAGGGAATGAATGGTATAACGAGTTTGTCACAAAAATGCAAGAACTTTGCAGGGGATGCATTGAAGACAAGAATTTCATCAAAAGATCTGAAGATTAACGAAATACGATGCACCTATGTCGTCTTCGAGAGATTGCTCTTTGTTGCTGACACAAAGAGTCTTGATTTGGCTAAGGTTCCGTTGTCCTTCCCACTCACAGAAATTCCACTTTTCCTTTGTCACATCAATGGAGCCAAGAACAAAACGGATAAATCGGCACTGATGAAAAAACTGGAAGCAGAGGGGACTGGAAACACAGAACCTTGTCATATTGATGTCTGCATGCTTGATGCCATGTTTTTCTTGCGCACACTAGCAAAGCTCCCTCAAACCTTTGATGGCGTAGCAAGCCTTATACTTCAACAGTCTGTGAATTGTTTTGGTCGCTTGTCCTGTTGTCCGTGGCGCTGATACTGACGTTTTTTTATACTCCTACTCTATCATGAGAAACTTTCGAATGCTATCATCTGAATTAATACTGGCACCAGCTCAAGGAATACCAGATACCTGATCAATATTTCAGAACTTGCTTAGAAGCTAACACCAGCTGTGTGTTCTGCTCTTCCAGCCTTCTATGCCTTCACTGGATGCGACTCCACTGCTGCATTTCTTTACAAAGCAAAACCCTATGCACTGACGATCAATAACATGGAATACATATCGGCCATCACTGAACTAGGATCGAATGAAAGTGTGGAGCCCCAAGTCTCCGCAACTCTTGAGCACTATGTTTGTGGTAACTTGTATGTATGGGGTGCAGAATGTGAGACATGTAAATGACACTCTGTTTATACTGTATAAAACGTCATATGCCTGAGAAATGGAGACACCCCAATGGAGAAAAATTAATCGACTGATCCATGTTGTCTACCCCCATGAAAAGACGTTCTTCAGTAAAAGAAAAAGCGGGCTAAACCATGTTGCACATCTATGGAAAAATGCCAGGAGTCCCAATCAAACTAAATTTCCAGCACATAGCCACGGATGGACACTTATGGACAACAACAAATTGGGCTTCGTTTCGTTCGAGGGCCTCAAAGTTCAAACAAACTCTGTACATAACTGACAGAAGATGCCTCACTTGATTGCAACGAGGAATGTGATGATGCCAATCTGACGTACAGTGTCTTCTCTGATACACAAGACGATGATGATGACGATTGAATAGGTTCTTTTGTCATTCAAATTTAAATGTGAGTACATGTATATGATTTAAGGTGCTGTGTAGGTATAATCGTGGACTAAAAGTGTGCGTGAGTGAGTGCTTTAATTGTTGGCGTGGTAGCATTAGCTATAAGGGTAGCAGCCGCAACGAAGCAGTCAGAGATTCAGTTCAAGAAATTTTTAGTTGTAGCAAGCTAAGACCAATGGTTCATGAGTGAGCAGCAGTAGGCAGATTAGTCTGAGACCAGCCAGACAGTCAGCAATCTAGTCAGTAAGTATGTATGCAACATTCAAAGTGCAATGCTAGAGCAGTGTAACAAGCTCACGCTCAGAAAACAGTAATAGAGCGTTTAGGAGCGGCATCGCAATCAAGTATGTCAGTAGTAGTAGTCAGCAGTAGCAGCAGCAAGCGAGCAGGCAGTAGCCAGCAGTAGCAGCCTCAAGTAACAGTAGGCAGCAGCACAGCAGCGAGTAGTCAGTAAGCAAGCAGCAGCAGTAGCAGTAGCGACGTAGACAGGGCACGGCAGTATCAGTAACAGCGAGCAGCAGCAGCGCAGCAGTAGTAGTGAGCAGCAGCAGGTACGGCAGCAACAGTATCAGTAAGCACTCAACAGTAGTTAACAGTCAGACAGTCGCACAGTAACAGTCAGCGCAGGCAGCAGCAGCAGTAACTAGCAGTAACAGCCAGTTAGCAGGCAGCAGCTGTAGCAGTAGCAGCAGGCAGCAAGTATAACACAGCAGCAGCAGCATATGCAGTGAGTAGGCAGCAGTAGCAGGGCAATAGTAGTAGTAGGGCAGCAGTCTAGGGTTTGCCAGTAAGCAGTCTATGAATGCCAGCTAAACGTGTACAGCACTAACAATCACACTCATATGGCAGGTACACCGCTAGTCAGCTATTGAGATCAGTCCAGGGCCCAGCAGGCAGCAGCAGCAGCAGTAGTAGTTCCCAGAGCACTTTTTCATGTTTAATGAATGACGCTTATAGCAGCAAGGCACAAGGTCAGTCAGCAGCACTGTAGGCAGCAGCTAGATAGTAGTAGTCAAGCCGACGACAGATCCGCAGCTCTATAGTCAGCTAGTTATGGCCGTCGCTAGCTAGGACCTAAGCAGAATAACAGCAGCAGCCTCCAGAGCAAGGTTAGGCTAGGGTAAGGCGAATACGCAGAGCGGCAGTACGCAGCTAGTAGTTCAGCTCACACAAGGACGTGGAGCCGTACGTCTATGCAATGGCCACGCAAGTGATTTAACTTTAAGCGCAAATCTGTGACGATTTCACGTGGTCAGCAAGTTAACAGGCAGAGCTAGTCCTAGTGACAGGATGGCTTATGAGAAACACATTAAAGCGAGACCATGCTAATCAGTGATATAGGTAGCAGTGCACCGCAGGCTCAAGGAGTACGCGTATGAGATTTTACAATGAGTGAGCAGTAAGCAGGAAGCAGGAGTGAGAGTGTGAGATTTAAGCATCAATTGCCGGTGAGTCTCAAGCGCCGAATGCGTGAATAGTTGTCACACTCACCATACTATAGAGCGTAGTGATAGCAGTTAACGGTGGCACTTGGTCCAGCAGCAAAGTATGGCAACCAGCCACCAGAAACCAAAATGAGTAGCAGCTAACAGCTTTACGACGCAGGGCACAGAGGCAGCCAGAAGCGAGACAGTCATAATAGATTAGTACAGTATGAGCCAAGCAGCATGTAGCCAGTACGCAAGTAGCAGTCAGCTGAGCCGAGTAGTGCAGACCAGCAGTATCGGCAATGGCATCGACAACAGCGACAGAGCACAGTCAAACATGACAAGATGAGTTACCAAGCATGGCTAATGCTAACTCTAAGTCACACTGTATTTAGCGTGCCCAGAGACTATGAGTATATTTTCCTTGCCCGTTAACAGTGAGCACATTGAGCTTCCCCTCTGAGTTCGCTCCTTTCACTATGAATCCTCGACGCGGCAACACTCCGCTTGGCTATGTTCAACTTACCGTGTAACTCTGTCATTATGTCCACCGCTGTCGCGCTGCCATCGTCAGTCTATCGTTCACGATACTCATCTTCATTGGTCATCTCCTAAGCTCAGTCTCTGCTGGATGACGCCGAAAGTCCCCCCTAAATGATGGCCTCACAGCTACGTCAGCCCATTCTGCGATGTAATAGGACATTGGTGTTGGTAGAACCTCGTATACTATGCTGTCATTCCGATCACTCTACTCTCACTCCGGAAGTCGACTCGGGTCATATAACAAATAAACATACCATATTATATGAAAGATATAACCGTTGTTATTTAGTACAGTTGTTCTTAATGAGTTAGGTAGGCTAGTACACTGGCGAAGAAGTGTATACAAACTGCCTCTATCAAGTTCTATACTCTATGACAAAATTGGCAGCGATGGCCATAAAAGCGTTACTGCCATTGCTATTTCCTATCAACGTTTCTTTTGAGAAATTAGAGGACTTACTTTCTTCCATTTTTTCTTTATACAAATACGAGTCAAGTCGAAAAAGTATATGGAATTTGTAAGCTGGAGCTCGATAATAATAGTTCTGAACATGTGTAGTCTATCTTTCTTATATTTTCTGTATGGACTCACTGGAGTGCTAGCCAATAACCCCTTGAAGTAATTATTAAATGTTGTCACAGTAACTGCCTTCTGGAGCTAGTATTGTCTGAATTGTTACACAGGTATACTACAGTATCGGATGAGACATGAAACTGTTAATTTTCCAGCTTATTATCGTTCGTTAATTGTAGGTCGCATGTTTTTCCTGCGATACTAATGTTTGTATTGCTGAGCTAGCAACTGTTAATGTAGTATTCTTTTTTTAGAATTTTTGATTGTTCCATGAGTTAACCTTCACTTACATTAATCTTTTATTATTAAATTTCGCAATAACTTCAGTACTCTTTTAAGTAATGGGAATGAATCATAATTTTTGACTAGTTTTAAATTGACACCGTCCACGTAGACCCTGGTCGCGAGGTGATTCCATGGTTCCTAGGTGGAGAATTTTGGAGTTTTTTGAATTCTCGAGGATTACGAGTGGTTAGCGCAAATCTGGTGCTCATGTATTTGTCCTCACAGGGTTATTCTTTCTAACTTATTATTGTCCAATCTTAATCCGTTGTTTAGAAGCGGTGTGTCTTTCCAGTCCTACAGGAGTTCTGACATATCTACTGCAACGATTAACGTAAGCATCCCAGATCTCCGTGCTGTCGTGAGCGCTGCGTACAACACCTACACATATCGGTGGTAGTAATTTTCATTGAGCGGCAAAGAGTCAATTTTCTTCTCTTTGTTCGATCAACCCTGTTATCTGTGCACGAGATATGAAAATAGGTGAAGTGATGATCCCCAAATTTCATTTGTGTAATTATACTCACCAGGCGGCTAATGTTATTACTGGATCATTGTTCGTATGAAAAATGGTCAACTAACCGTCGGTTAGTTAGAGTGAATTGAGTAACTAAGTTGGTTTACGTAATTGAGAGGCCGATATATATGGTAAGAGTAAACGTCATCGCTAATAGGTATTGTTGTAGGATCTCTCCGGTTTGTTATAATTGTCTGAACGGTTGTTGATCCTGTTTCAAGAAATCTATGTTAAAATCACCACACAAATATAATAATTACCTGAAAGTTATTAAGATGGAGAATATTGTTCATTTCGGCGTTCGAAGGCTGAACATCATTGTGTGAGTCTAAGACAGCATTGATAAAAAAAGCCAGATCAAATTAATATGTCACCCATTTATTGTGGCGATATTGACCCGATAGATGAACCAACTGGTAAGGATTGTTTATAGATTGAAATTTCCCAATAATGGGATCCACAGCTGCTCAGCATGCACTCCTGACAATGATGTAGCATGCCGTAAAGAACAGCTAAGATAATCTCTTATATACATCCCAACTCCTCCTGCGTTAGTAATGGAGTCCTGTCTAATGAATATATAGCCAGGTATCTCAATGTTATAGTGCGTATTGGATCCTAATTTAGTTTCAGAAATTGCAATTAAGTCAAGTATTTTAGCAGTATTTAATTGGACAAGAAAATCTAGGAGGTACGTTAAATTTGTTTTGTAAACTACGTGCATTTACATGTAGTATAAACAAGTCGCTTTGCTTGTCCTCAGAAACTATCTTTCGAAGGGTTTCAGGTTTCACATACTTACTGCTTGGATATCTCAAATAATGGTCCGGGTCTCGGTCATCATTTTTTGTAGGATCGTATAGGTCAGCATCTGTAATGGAAGGCATTGCAGAATTAATCTGGTCAAGTAAAGGAAAAGAAGGGAAAGTGGAACTTGTATACCCCGTACAGACTACTAATTTGATATGGTACTAAACTAGTGCGCATAAGACGGTAAGACAATAAAAATGGTTCATTCAGTTCCCAAATTTTCAAATTGTTGCTTAGCCCCAAACAAAATATATGTGTGGTTACCGTTACATGCCGAAAAAAATATGGTAGGTAGGTAGGAAAAACATTTTATTTTCTTGAAATATTTTATTTACAAACCATGTCCGAAGAATGTGCGTTGTGCCTTTTGAAGCAGGAACTGTCCAATTAATATTAATATTTTTTTTTTATTATATTTTTTTTTTACTTTAAAGAAAATTGACAATAAAGTGTTTAGGGTCGCTGGGAATAAATAGGGTCGGTCGGGAAACCGTAACCACACCTATATCTTGTTTTGGCCTTAGTTAAAGTTATAAATTTTGTGTGAGACCATATTTGACATACGTTACATAAAATAGCAGATTGCTTAGGCTTGCATGGCTTTAAACATTTTCTACAAAGGAGATGAGCCATCGGTATATGAGGGGTTTCAAATTTTACAATAAATTTACATGTGATAGTTATTCTACACATTGTCGGCGAGTTGGTAGTTTGTCTATGTTCGCTTCGTTACAAATTTCTATAATTTCACTTTCATTGGTCTTCCTGATGAATATTCTACCGAGTCTTGTCCATAGATACTTAAATCCTCCTGTTCGCTTAGCAGTCAGGCATTTGTTAAATAGTGCTCGGCCGAGCTTTATAAGATGAGTGCTCTCGTTTATAATATAGATGTTATCTCTAGATGTATATACTAGTTGCTCAGCTGATCCCACATGTTTACGGTTTGATAATATTTCATTACGTTTGTCGCGCCTGGTAAATTTTACAATGATTTTTGGTGGTGCTCCTGACCTTGGAGGTGGCAGTCTGTGAGCTGTGCTTATATCTTGATCAGTTAGGTTGATTTTCATGTTGTGCGCGACTCTTTTAACTACACTATTTAATTTCTCGTTTTGAATGTATGGAATATTACAGATTTCTAGGGTGTCGCGCCGTCCATACTGTTCCAAATCGTCTATTGCCATGTCATTATCTTTATTGCTTTTTTCTAGGTTGCTAACAGCTGCTTTTAGTATCTTGTTTTCATTTTCGAGGTTGGTTATTTTTTTAAGAGCTTCTTCTAGGTCACGTTTTAGTTCTTCAAATGAATCAGAAATATATTGCTGGCTAGATGACAATTCCTTCATACTGTCATCTAGGTCATCTAGTCTTTTAGTTACCTTGTGAGATTCCGATTTCATTACCTGTCTAAGGTTCTCTTCCATGTCGTCCATTCTTTTAAAAATATCCTCCATATAGCTTTTTTAGACATAAGGATTTATTACTTTAATTAAAACTAAAACTTTATGCTAGGTGCAGACAGACAACACAGTACACAGACTATAACTATCAATAACGTAACTATTTGCCTATCTGGTTACTAGTACTAGTACTAGTTAGATTTTCCTCCCGGCAGCCGCCCCAGTAACACACGTGAACGTAACAGTAGGCTGTGTTAGTCGGATAGCAAAACTTATAACACACACACTGTGTGTTTATTACTGGGTAAAATGTAAATAATATAACAACAAAATTGAAAAGTATATATACATAAACCGCGGCTATAGACAAAAACTTCGAAAAGTGGCAACCACCGTATAATTTAGCTTGTTAAGTAATTCAATTAAAACGTGTAAAATAAATATAGTCTGATATATCAATTCCTCTACCTAAAGGCAAAAGATGTATTAGTTAATCTGTTTGAGGTAGTTGACACTAATTTAACGTAATTTATCTTAGCGTATAACTTAGCCTAGTCATGAATCATTGGGTAAATGCCACAATGCCAGCAATTCCAAAACACGTCCGCTCTCGACCGCAGCCCGCTTACAACGATTAAATCTACTAACATTGCACCAACACTGAATCCTTATTACAGCAATGTTTAACAGATGCGCATCATGGGGAAATTGAATGTCATTTATTCTCGATTCAAAACCACTTTTGGATTAGATTATCATGGGATGACAGCATTGAAACATTCCTCGTGTGAAACCTGCAATTCAACACATGTTTGCTCTAGTGTATGAAGCCTTTAAGTTCACTGCATTTAAAAAAAATACCAATAATCAGATGGAGAAAATCTGGGTCAGCATACTGGTATGACTAGTCGACAGCCCCAAGCATTTAAGCCAGCCCTGGGCCAATCAGTCGCCTCCCACTGCACCAATGACAGGTGGCACCAATGCGACTCATCCATAAAAATGAATTATATATTGGATCTATCTTGGTTAATTTCTACTCAACTGTGTTGATTCAAAACGTACTGCTGACGTTTTGCCTCCTATCAGGAGGCTTTCTCAAAGCTGACGTTTTGAATTAACACGGTTGAGTAAAAATTAACCAAGATAGATCTACTTATTTAATTTTTTAGATATACTTATTAGATATACTTATTAGATATACTTAGATATACTTATACATTTTATACATTATTACATTATACTTATACATTAGATATACTTATTAGATATACTTATAATTTTTTTTAGATATACTTATTTAATGAATTATATATCATTAGACTTCATCAACTTACCATTTGGCATGCTTTCGAATGCAACGGCATCGGCATCCCGGTGGACGACGGCGACCGGTGAGCCGGCTCCACCAA